TCAATTCTCCTTCTATCATCCCTAGTCATTGTCCAGCTCTCCGATGCATAGCAAGTGATTGCAAAGATGATGACCTGTACCAGGCACACCTTAGTCTCCAGAGTGACATCTTTGCACTAGTATCTAGACTCTAGGGAGTTGCACTGCTAACCAAAAAGCTGCCTCTTTGCTGATTTGAATCCACCAACAGCTTCATGAGAGAAAGATAGGCAATATCCTCCCATGCGATTTACAGCCATGGAGGCCCAATGCAAACTCAGCTGTGCAACTGCTTTTTTTAATTTTGGAGGCTTTTTACCCACAAGATTAGTGTTAGAAGAATCAGAGTATTAACATAATAATAAACAGGTCCTTCTACTTTATTAATGATCTAGATATTAATCAAAAGGAATAAAAGTATTAGCCGAATAGAAGTTTATCCTTGAAACTGTTAAGTTGTTCAATAGTCATAGCCCCTCAAACTGAAAGCATATTTTCCCTCTAGTGACGACATCTTTACTTTTCAAGTAATAGAGGAAGAAATATTGTCTGGAAAAAAATGCATGAGTTCAACGGATTTGTCAATATCTGGCATGTGTCCAAAGAGTAAAATGAAATGGGATGTCTCTGGAAGAGTTTCCTAAACTGCAAAATGATGTAAAAAATGGGATCATTAAAACAAAAAGAGAAAGAGGGTATTACCTAAATTCCAAGCTTAAAATAACATTTCACATTGGATTAAAACCCAGTTCCTGTCCATCACCTATTCAAGATCACCCCATGCCCAGGAAAAAGAATGTTGTACATACTTACTTTGTAACAGCTACACTAATGAGGGAAGTCGTTGGAGCGCCTTTCCTAGAGAGGGTTAAAAAAACAGAAAGTCATTTAATTTGGTAGAAACTATAAATAGCTTTTATTAAGAAGCAGAAGTAAAAGTCTTTCTTTTTTTTAAAAAAAATCTATTTATTTATTTATTTAATTTTTATTATTTGTGTGTGTGTGTGCCATCGAATCAGATTTGACTGGTACAGGAGGAGATTGTTCCTCCTTCTCCAGCAAAGCATCTGGTGGATTTGAACCACACACCTCTGGGATTGCAGTGCAGCTTCTTGCCACTGGGCCACCAGAGCTCACCAAAGTCTTTCTTTTTTAAAAAATTCAATATAATTAAAATAATAAAAAATGAGACTAGTAATTGAAATACAAATCTATCCTTCAGTATGGTGTTTTTCGTTGTACTAAGACCATCTATGAAGTGGATTGATCCAGTGACTGGAGTAGTGGGGTGGGTGTGTTGGAGACAGTGAGACTGGCACAGGACAGAGCAGGGCTTAGGACTGTTATACACAGGGTCACTGTGAGTCGCAGGTAACTCGATGGTACATAAAAACAACAACATCATGGTGTCTTTGGGACCTAAGAGACTACTAATACAAAACTCAGGTAATCACAAAAACAAAATGAAGCCATTTTAAAGCTTGTGTCACACTGATCAAAGAAACTGCGATACTAACCTTTACCAAGTATAACAGAGGTTCAGAGAAATGACTGAGAAAAATTATATACTACAAAAAACCAACAGCTGGCTTTGAGTTGACTAGGATTCATGGAGACCTCATACATTTTTCAGTGTAGAACAATGGTCCATAGGGTTTTCAGTGGCTGATTTTGGGGGGAAGTAGATCACCAAGAGTTTTTCTCAAAGTTTTTCTGGATGGACTAGATCCTCCAACCTTTCACTTAGCAGGTGAATGTGAAAACCATTTGAGCATATCGACCCAAGAGATCAATAAAACTAGTCTGTTTTTAGAAGGCTGGGAAATATGGGACTCTGTCATTATGGTACCAAATCTTATATTCTCTAATAATGTTTTGTTGTACACATTAAATACATTGAGTACAGCACTTAAGATCAATACATAAATATATGAATGAAAACCATAAAATTCTTGGAAGAATAAGCAGGGGCAACACAGTCAGCCATGAATTTAATTTCATTCATTCATGGACTTTCATTTCAGCAATGGATTATCTCACATCATAACAAAAGCACAACAAGGATTTCCAAAAATACTACAGAACATGGGAGACACTAGAGAGCATTATGCTGAGTGAACTAACTTGGGCTCATAAAGACAAATACTGCATAACAGCATTATTACAAAGATGGAAAGATAACTAGTAAGATGTGTATGGATATCCAAAGAGGGACCAGGAGGGGTAGAAGGGCTTAGGGCAGGGAGGGGGAGAATCACAGGTGACAGAGTTTGGTGGGTAGAGGGAGAGGGTGGAAGAAATAGGAAAGACCCAGTGGGAATCTGAAAAGATGGGGTAACAGTGGGCAAAGATCAATGGTTATTAATTTCATAAGATACAATGTGTGGGATTAATCACATAGTCACACAATGAATGCAACAATGTTGAATAAAAAAACCAAAATAAAGATTAAAAAAATAAATGAAACCCAAATAAAAGCAAACAGTAAAGGACAAAATTGGAATGCATAAAAAAGAATTTTAAAAAGACTTTACAAAGAGTGAAAAAATAAGCTCCCAACTAAGAGAATTTCTTCAGAAGCCATGTAACTGACCAGAATTTACTAACCAAAATATATCTATATCTTAAACTTTGACAACATAATAACCAAAAGACAAATTACTCAACCAAAGAATAGGGAGAGGACGTGCAGTGACATTTTACCAAAGAAAACATTCAAATGACTACTCAACACATGCAAAGATGCTCAGACATCACTGCTGCTGTGGACAGTTGAGTCAGACTCAACTTATAACTGATCCTGAGACTGAGGTTGTTAACAACTTCAGCTTGCTGAGTTCCACAACCAACACTCTCGGCAGCAGCAGTCAGCAAATCAAAAGATGAACTGCATTAGAGAAAAAAAAAATCTGCTTTCAGGTACCTCTCCAGAAAAACCCAGGCACATCTTTGGACTTTGGACTTTGCAGTCACTTGCTACGCATCCGAGGGCTGGACAATGACCAAGGATGACAGAAGAACTGATCCATTTGAGTTGTGGTGTTGAAAAAAGAGTTTTAAACATACCATGGACTGCCAAGGGAACTAACAGGTCTGTCCTGGAAAGGGTGAAACTAAGCCTTGGAGGCTAGGATTTTGAGACTTTGTCTCACATACTTAAGGCATGTAGCCAGGAGGAATGGATCTTTGGAGAAGGTTATCATGCTTAGAAAGGTCGAGTGACAGTGCAGGAGAGGAAGACCCCAGATGAGACGGATTGACACAAGAACTGAGGACACAAGAACACAAGAACAAGGACGGTAGGCGTGTCGGAGACAGTGAAACTGGCTCAGGATTGGGCAGGGTTCAGAGCTATTGTGCATAGGGTCACTATGAGTCATAGTCAGCTGGACAGCACATAATAACAAAAACAAAAAGTATTGTAAATACAACTAAAATGGCAAAAATATTTTGCTATTTATATTTCACCAAAATGATTTTTTATTAGTATTTCAAAACAAGTAGGTGTGAACCAATATATTACTTAAAAAAAATATCACAAATAAAAAGAGTTTCTCTGTGGCGCAAATGGTTACCACATTTGGCTGCTAACCAAAGATTGGAGGTTTGATTTCACTCAGAGAGATACTTCGCAAAAAAAGCCTAGCAAAGCTTCAAAAACCATACGCTGAGGGGAAAAGGAGAGCAGGAGTAGAATGGCTGGACAATGAACACAATAATGGATTAGGGGAGGTAAGATCAACCTGAAATGGGTGACTGGACAAACTATGCACTGCAGGTAGCCATCTCGAATGAGATACGTGTAACTGATCAAATAGGGGTGGTGGAGAAAGAGAAATGGGAAAAATAGAGTAAGGGAAGGTTTATCCACAAATAGAAACAGCTGACAGGATGGGAGAGGAGAGGGGAAGCAGCGATTAGCAAACAGATGGTAAGTTCAAAAGAGGAAGGAGGGTCCAGCGAGGTTTCCAAAGGACCTTGTAAATAATGGCACCGTACAAGCATAATTACTGTTAGAAAATGAAATGTGTATGAATGGCTGAATGAAAACCAATTTAAAAAAATAAATAAATAAAGATGAGGCTGAATTCTGTCCTCAAAAATTCCAAGTGCACATAGTGCACAGTTCTATTCTTACACATATGCAGCGGCCATCAGTAGGCAGCATGAACTCAGTGCCAATGGGCTAGTGGCAAGTAAATAAAAAGCAGTTTGAAATATTTATAATACTTTTAGTAGTACCAAAAAATGGTTACTTATTTTTTTCTTACTACTAGGGAAGGATGCGAGCAAGTCCTACCAAAGGCAGACATTCCCACAGATCATCGCGATGGCATTGTTCCAGCCGTACACCGCCACAGGGAAGTTGAACGCAGTGATGATTCCAACCAGGCCTACAGGATTCCACTGTTCAATGAGGGCATGGCCAGGTCCTGTGGACAGGAGGGAGGCGTGGAGCATGCTCTAAGTCAGCCCAGAGAGGACAAAGTCGGAAATCTTTCACTTCCACACTGGACTAGTGTGCATTCCAGCCAAGTGATCTTGGGACATTAATTAACATATCCCCCCCAAAAAATGGTTATTACCTTATAAACCAAAACCTTATCCATTATCCATTATTCCTTCAATCCTCATAGGAACCCAGGGCAGCATTAGTCTCACATGATGAGAGACAGGAACTTCCCAGAGGTGTTATGTCTCAGGCCTTTGCCCTTTATAATGCTAGAACCTGTGGGTCAATCTTTGCAAATATAATGCAGAGTGAGTCATTTATTGAAGGGGGGAAATGTTATAATAATAATGACATATATGTTGAGTGACTAAATTGTCCAAATCTTTACTTATCAAAGGAAAATTTAAAATATAAACAAAAATGTAAAGACTTTTTTTTTTGTAAAGACATTTTTAAAGCGCCTCCATAATCCCCAAAGGAGCAAGAAGTAAAAACCACAAATCAACTGAAAGATGGCTCTCCTCACAATCAGTCCTTCTGGCCACAGTCACACTGCTGCTAGTTAGCAAGAGAGACCCCCATGAACACAGTTCCTCGCTCCCAGGCTGACCCTTCAGTCAAGCATCTTGCATACTGTGAACATGAGGCACTGTCAGTCTCTTCTCCACAGGGCTACCTCCTGCTCTCCCCACATCCCTGTTACCCTCATCCAACTGCACCCAGTACAGATTTAATGGTATTGCTACCTCACTTACAATATTCTGCTGTCTGAATCACCACTATAATTACTTTTGGGATAAAGGCTCTTTGGCACAAAAAGTCTTTTCTGGAGTTTCCCCCTCTACGCCAACCTGTCACCTCTTCCTTTATACTGTGTCTGTCCTCTGCTGGGCACAAGAATCAATGCAATTCCCCAGATAAAATATACGCTCCCACCTAACACCTTCACACAGGTTTCATCCTTGCCCCAGTACCTATTTTTATCATCACTGGGGACTCAGCTTAGATTACCTTTTCTGAAAGGCTTCTCTAATTGTTCCTTGTCAAAGCTGCCTTAGGAGGAGTACTCCCCTTAATGTGTTTCCATCCTATCCACCACTCTTTCATTAGTTACCACATTCCATTACTTTCTGTGCCCCTGTCTCCCACTCCAGAATGTGTAATTGTCTGAGGGCAGGGGCTACACTTGACTGATCAGTGTAGTTGTTACTATGTGTCATCGACTACAGACTCAGTGACAGCACCCTATAAACAACAGATAGGAATCTTGCCCTATCCTGCACCATCTTCATGATCTCTGCTATTCTCAAATCCATTGCTACAGATACTGTGTCAATCCGTATAATTGAGGGTCATTCTCTCTTTCTCTGACTCTCTGCCTCACCCACCATGATGTCTTTTACCTGGTCCTGGTAGACACTCAGAAAGTCAAAGTTAGAGAGCTTTTGTGACCTAGTGGCAAGAAGTTGCATGGCAATCCTAGAGTGCACGGTTCAAATCCACTAGATGTTCTGCTGGAGAAGGAGGGACAATCTCCTCCTGTACCAGTCAGATCAGAATTGATGGTACAAGCACAAAAAATTAGTAACATTTTTTAAAAAGATGGACGTTATTCCAAAGCCTCTGCATAAATAAATCATCTCCTTTTAAAAAAAGTACACAAAAAAAATTTTAATTGGTGAGGCAGGTCTCACAGCAAGAAACAGTCACTTTCTTGCACAAACACTTCCCTAAATGGGGAGCCTATTAAACATATTAACTGGTTATGGTTATACAAAATGTTCTTTAATATATAAAATCATTAAGATTGGATCAAGATAATTCACTAAAATGTATCTAATAAAGGTCATTAACTGTGCATTTAAAAAAATTTCTACTCTTTTGGTGAGTAGAGGGAGGGGGTGAAGGGATTAGAAAAAGTCCAGTGGAGACCCAAAAAGACGAGGTAATAGTGGGTGGGCATAGATCAATGGCAACTAATTTTATAAGACATAATGTATAGAAACAATTGTATAAAACATATGAATGAAGGAATGTGTGAAACACAATGTATATAAATGAAAAAATGCATATGAATTTTGTATGCAAATCAATATAAAATAAACAGATTTAGGGGAAAAAATGGTTCCCACTCTTGTTGCAAGAAGGGAATTTATATAATAGTTTGAAAAAAACAAATTATATTCTTTGAAAAAAATCTGTTTATTGATTATAATTACACCTTCTTTCTCATCACAGACATTTTCAAAATACGAGAAAATAGAAGACTGTAACAGCTATCAATAATTCTGCCACAGCAAACATTACAAATGACAGAGACCCCTACCTGCATTAATGGGAACCTCCTCAGAGTGGAAGGCTGCTCTTTGCAGAAGTTTGTATTAATAAAATATTGAAAACACCCTAAATGCTCAGCATTTGAACCCTGCTTAAATATAGTGGCACAACAGCTAAGCATTCAGCTACAAACAAAAGGTTGTCAATTCAAGCCCACAAAGATGCTCCCTAGTATAATGACCTAGCAATCTGCACTTATAAAGATTTCTGTCTAGAAACCACTATGGAGCAGTTCTACTCCACCACAAGGGGTTGGCTATGAATTGAAATTGACTCTTCAGTAGACAGTAACAACATTCTTACAACAAAAAGAAACTTTTCATCCTTTATTCTTCTATTCCTTTTAAATTTGTGATGTATTAACTCTTCCAAAAGTAATATTGGAATAGCTTCTAAAATAATAAAAACTTTCCATGACAGTATAGGTTTGTGAATCCTCACAAACATGATTTTTAAGACACGCTAATCATCTATCAAAAATAGCTTATGCTTCCTCTTCTGATGTAACATTTAGGTCATTTCTAGTATTTCTTACTGACACGACACTTTTATCTAAACTTTCATCACATTTCAGATGTTTCCTTAAAGTAGATTCTAGAAAGTAGCACTGCGGAATCAAAGAATATTAATTAAATGTAAGGTTATTTGGGTATTTTTCAAAATTACATTCTAGTACTGTTCTAATAATTCATATTCCCAAAAGTACCTATTAAACAATGTCTTCTTATTCATTTACTTGCCAGCACTGAGTTTTCTTTTTTAAAAAAGTTTTCAATATGATGTTTTTCTTTATTTTAATTTACATTGTAGCAGTGAAATGAAATGTAATTTGATATATTTGTAAACTACACTAAAGAATCACATCATATATCATAAAGTAGTCATAGCTTGAATGGTTTTTTTGTTGTTGTTTTTAGTATTAAGAGTACAAAATGTTCAATTTGAAGGATCTAATTGCTTACTTTCAGAAGGCAAGATAGGTCCCCCAATCATTCTTGATAAGCCAACAGCATAATCGCAAATATCCACGTACTCTTGAACTTCTCCTATACCTTCAACTAAGATTTTCCCCATCTCCAAAGACACCTATAAATATAAAAAGCCAGACAGCATTTTTACAGCAAAATTCAAGGGTTAATTTTTTTTTAAAAAAAAGCTAAAACCTTTTTGGTGCCTATTTCATGAAGAGTATAAAATGCAGAAAGGCTATCCTTATTTTCCTGAAGAACTTTAAAAAAAAAAAACCCAACTCCAAGAGTTGTTTGTATGTTTTCCTGTCTACTTAATCTTTTCTCTAAGGAAAAGATTTTTTAAATTTATTAACTGTTTGTCTTAAAAATCACATTATAATAAGATGTACAACACTCTTACTATCCACTCTAAGGATTAGGCATTTATTATGAAAATACTTTACCAAGCTTCCTAGCATCTGGATCTTCTCCCGCAAGGCATCACCAATCTGCCTTACTATTTCTCCTCGCTTTGGAGCAGGAATCTAAAAAAATAAGGACAATTCATTGTCTGATGTAAACGTTGTCTACAATAATGTATGAAATAAAGGTACTGTAGCAAAACAAGGTGCAATTGTACGGGGGGAACCTCCTTAATGACCATATCAAGATACTTGATGTGGAAGATTCCAAAGCCAAAACCTCAAACCCAAAACAAACTTATTCTTGGGAACCAGCTCACAGCTGATTCTTGAGCAGGGGTTTTCAAGAGGCTAAAAATTGCAGGAGAGGAGTGTACCCACCTTTCTCTCACAGAACTTCAGAATACTTGGTGATTTACTTCTGATCAAACCATGAGAGAAGTAATGAGGGTTAATAATGCACCCTTCTGACTCTGTCTCTAAAACTCCAGAAAGTCAGATGAAAGATTCAACAATGAGCAGCAAACTACACCAAGAACAGACAGAATTGACAAGATTAAGCATAATCTTGAAGACGACTCCAGAATACACATTACCTTAAAACACTTACAGTAGTTCCCAGTGGTGCTATCTTATGAAACAAAATGTTTCTAAGACCAAATCTTGATGCAACTTACTTATAAACTGGAATTTAATCATCCACTAGACTGATACCATCCACCCACTAAATATGAAACATGTACTGTGTGAGAGGAGTAACAACAGATAACTAGCTCCCCACTTGATTCTGGCTCATGGCAACCCGTTAAGTGTCAGAATTGAACTGTGCTCCACAAGATTTTCAATGGCTCACTTTTCAGAAGTAAATGACCACGTATTTCTTCTGAAAATCAGGAAGGCCAACTTGGCTAGAGCTAGAAATTTGAAGTTAATTTGGAAGGGAGATTCTGTAATCTATGGTAAAGAGTCAGAATCTTTTTTTTTTATGAAATTTTATTAGTTTTAATGAAAATTTACAGAGATTTTGGGTTTTCATTCATTCATTGTTGCACTCTTTTCTCCACCCTCCTCCCCAGTTCATTCTTCTTCCCCCCCATGTCTGTTTTAATTGTCCAATTGCCACAGTAATTGTCAAAGCCAGTTCTGATTAATCTCCTTTGTCAGTGTGTCCCTTGCCATTCCCTATCACTCCTCCCTGAGAGAGACTTCACCCTGATTCATAAGGAAAAGGGGATGGTGTATTCTCTTAGCTACTTCCTGCTGAAAAGGGACGCTGTGGGTTTCAGGGTGAAGGTCTTCTCTCACTAAAGGGCCCCTTTGGCAGTAGGAAACACATAGACTATTATGGAGATTGATTTTGGAATTTAGATGCATTGTTATCAATTGTGCTTAGCTGTACATGTTCATATCCTTGAAGGTGTATCATGGAAGTGTTGCAGCCTAGAAGATACAAATTGAACTAACAAGTTAAAAGTGCATGAGTCAAAAACTGAAAAGCAATAATATTCTGAGTAAAGGTTCTAATAGTGGCACAAATCAAGTTACAGAGGTAAGACGCTTCCATTGCCATCCTTACTCTAACTTAATTCTTTTTTTTTTAATTTAAATTTGTTATTAATTTCAGTGAAAATTTACAGAGGCTTTGGATTTCCATTCATTCATTGTTGTACATTTGTGCCCTCCCAAGGCTCCCCCCCACCAGACATTACCCTCTTGGAAAAGTAAAAGAAAAGATTCTTTCATTATTTTACAAACCCTCCCCCAGGTCCACAACACCATGGAGCCATCGCTCTAGACTCCTGTCATGACCGAAATACCTAATCACATATCTCTTTTAAACAGTTTTCTCCTTTCTCTGTTTCAGAGCAGCATACATTATTGAACCCATCTTACTCAGTCTCTCCCCAACCCCAAGGACAGTCCCATTTTACAACAGTGGCCCCATGCAATAGTTGTCCCTTTGTAATTAGGACATTTCACTCAGCATACTGTTCTCCAGAGTCAGCCATAATGTTCTCCAGAGTCAACCATTTTGAGTAATATTGCATGAGTTCCTTGTTTTTTAATGCAGCATAGTATTCCATTGTGCGAATATACCACAGCTTCTCTAGCCATTCGTTTGTTGATGGGCACTTAGGTTGTTTCCAACTCCTTGCTATTGTGAACAAAGCTGCAATAAATATGGGTGTGCATATATCTGCTTGGGTGTCAGTTATGGTCTCTTCTGGGTATATTCCCAGTAGTGGTATTGCGGGGTCAAATGGTATCTCTATTTGCAACTTTTTGAGAAAGCGCCATACCGCTTTCCACAGGGGTTGCACCATTTTACACTCTCACCAACAGTGAATAAGGGTTCCAGTTTCTCCACAACCTCGCCAGCATTTATTGCTTGCTGTTCTGTTAAATTTTGCTATTTTGACTGGGGTGAGATGATATCTCATAGTTGTTTTAATTTGCATCTCTCTTAGGGCGAGGGATTTTGAGCATTTCTTCATGTGCTTGTTAGCCATCTGAATGTCATCTTCGGTGAAGTGCCTGTTCATATCCTGTGCCCATTTTTCTATTGGATTCTTTACCTTTATATTGTTGTGGTGCTCAAGTATTTCATAAATTCTGGATATAAGTCCCTGGATATATGTTATTACCGAATACTTTTTCCCAGTCAGTGGCCTCCCTTTTTACCCTGTTGGAGAAGTTTTTGGATGTGCATAGGGATTTGAGTCTTAGAAGATCCCATTCATCTACGTTATCTTCTCCTGGTTGTAGGTTAAGAGTCAGAATCTTACTCAGTTTCAATAGCAAGTCTTTAATGTTTTCTGTTTAATTTTTCCTTTTTTTCTTTATTTTGATAAACATAAATGTAACAGTCATTTCAACATTCTTCACGTGTATAATCCAATGGAAATATGTTGAGTATTTTGCTCTATTATTATTATTCTTCCTCTTTTTTTCCTTGTTGTGTACCATTGAGTTAGATCCAACTGGCACAGGAGGAGATTGCCTCTCTTTCTTGAGCGGACCATCTGGTGGATTCAAACTATGCACCTTCAGGACTGCAGCACATCTTCTTGCCACTAAGCCACCAGAGCTCCTTTTATTATTATTATTATTATTTACAAATTTTTCTATGATTCAATAGATTGTAGGTAACAGAATAAGACAATCTCCTTTGCATTTTAAGATAATATCCATCTCCAGTTGATGGATGGGAGAACAAATTGGGAAGGGGAAAAGCAGATGTAGATCAATCAAGAAAACATTATAGTTGTTAGATGGCCATCAAGTAGTTCCAACTCAGAGGGACCATGAACATCACGGAAGGAGCTACTGCCTAGTCCTGCACCAGCCTCACAGTTGTTCCTATGTTTTAGTCCACTCTTGCTGCCACTGTATATTAATCTATCTCACTGAGGTCTCTCTTTTTTTAGCTGAGTCTCTATAAAGTATGATGCCTCTCACCACAGAATAATCCCTCCTGACAGCTTGTCAAAAGTATATAATAAGTCTTGTCATCCTCTCATCCTAGGACGCTTCACTTCTTTCAAGACAGATGTGCTTCTCTCCCTGACAGTCTATCACATAATCAATATTCCTCTTCAACACGATTCAAAGACATCATTATTCTTCAGTCTTCCTTACTCATTACCCAACTTCTGCAAACTTGTGAACTGACTGAAAATACCATGGCTTGAATCAGGTACACCTTAGTCTATTAAGAATTTAAAGGAATTATGTACCTGCTTTGTCCAATGCACCACATCATTTGACATACTGACATATTCCAGTCATCTCAAAAGATTCCCCATAGCAAGTGAAGAGATTAGATTAGTGATCAAAAAACATCCCTATGGCTTTCCTGAGGAATTCTACAGAACATTCAGGGGAAAAAATAACATCAGAGCTGTTTAAACTCTTACAAAAGGCAGAGAAGGAATACTTCCTAGTTTGCACTACGGAAGCTAATACTTAAACCAAAGATAACTAAAAACCATTATTACCTCTTATGGATATAGACTTAAAAACTCTCAACAAAATATTAGTGAACAGAATCTAACTTCACATTAAGAATCATACATACATAAACAAGTTACAAAAAGACAATTATGGTATAAGACCACTACTAAAGAAAGCTAAACAAATGTTTGCAAGCAGATAGTATCAATCTTGGAAGGTTAACAGGGATGGGTTTGTTACAGTGTACAGCCAAGTCAGAACAAACCCATAGCAGACCTTCCACTGGGTTTTCAGAGATAGTAAACAGCACAGAAGGAGACTGCTCATCTTCTTTGCCTTGTTGAGAACTATCAGGTGAGCAGTTTGAATCCATTGGCTGCTCCGAGGGAGAGAGATGGGCAATCTCCTCCTCTAAAAACACACTGGGCATCAGCTGTGAGTTGGTCTGACTCATCTTAGTTTTTAGTTTATATGGGATCAAACCCACAACTCCAAAGATATTAGGGATAAGAACCTTTGAGGACAGAGGATTCATGGTTCATGGGGACAGAAGAGAAGCCACTCAGGAAAAGAGTGAGAATTATTGTAAAACACAAAGAATTTAATCAACATCACTAAATTGTTTATGTAGAAACACTGAAACTGTGTTTTGATGTGTATGTTCTGATTAACAACAACAAAAAAAACAGATCATGGCGACTTAGACTCTTTGGATTCTAATGATTAGGAAAGGAGACAAAAACTAGATTCAAAATTTATTTTTGCAATTATAAGTGATAGGACACACCAATGGAATAAATACAGGAAATGGAAGCGTTAAAAATTACTCCCAGGCTTCTGGTTCAGACAGCTAAGAAGATGGACATACAATCACTAATATGATGACTTGAGCAAGGGTATAAGGGTATTCTGGGGTGTAAAAACTATAGACTGGACCATTCTCGGCTGTGTATGAATGGAAATGTCAAATGTACTGTTGGATGACAAAAAACCACAGAAACAGTAGAATCACCTTAGAAATGAGGAGAGTAAAAAGGCTGAAAAATCACTCTGAGAAATACCAATATAGAGAAGGGTGCAGAGGTGGCTAAGAAGAAAGAGGAAATCTGGGAAAAAACGTACTGCAGCACCCTCAAGTTAATTTTCATTTTGAGTTGGCCAGAACTGTC